TTTGATACCGATATGGTAGTTAATATATCAGTATATCTGTATCATGCATCCCTAAAAAGCACCTGCTTAAAGACTAAATCATGAAATAGATGTAAAGTATGTGTATGTAGCAGGACACAATAGTTCATTCAGATGTCTGTTTTACTGTGACTCAAATATCATTACAGAAGTGTGAACATTCCTCTAAGAAGGATCAGGAAACATTTGTGCTGAACATTTTTCCTTCTGTTACATCCTCTCTCAAGGTGTGAACAGTGATTAAACAGTCATCAGACCTTCAGGCTGGTGTTGGGGATACCTGAAAGACTACAAATGCGTCATCTCCCACATTGTCTCTGTCAACATGCCCACCTTACCACCTCTGGGCAGTAACTCCAGCACAGTGCCCTGGGACCCTGGCTCACCCCTGTCGCCGTCTCTGGTGAACAGCACGGTAAAGATGGTGCTCATATCGGCGATCGTGTGCACATCGCTTTTTGGCAACGTTGTGGTGCTGCTGGTATTCCAGCGCAAGCCACAGCTGCTCCACGTCGCCAACCGCTTCGTGCTTAACCTGCTCCTGGCCGACCTTCTGCAGACGGTGCTGGTCATGCCCTTCGCCATCGCCGCCACTGTGCCCGAGGTCTGGCCACTGGACGCCCGCCTGTGCCTGGCCCTTGTTGTGCTCATGCACCTGTTCGCATTCGCTGGCGTCAACACCATCATCGTGGTGTCCGTAGATCGCTACCTGGCAATCATCCACCCGCTGTCCTACCCCACCCGAATGACTCCTCACCTGGGTACCAACCTGATCGCTCTCACCTGGCTTCTCAGCGTGCTTCAGAGCACTCCGCCGCTGTATGGATGGGGAACCATCGAATTCGACCGCCGCCATAATGCCTGCACTGTTGTGTGGTCCTCTAGCTACTCGTATTCAGCCCTGGTGTCCGCACTTTCATTCTGGCTGCCCGTGATCATCATGCTTTGCTGCTACTGGATGGTGTTCAGGGCGGCAAGGCGGCAGAATGCTCTCGTTCACCCCATCCAATCCAACCCCCCTCCGGATTCCCAAGCGTCCTGTTCCAGCCCCCAAAGGCAGCAGCCTCAATCGGAAGGACCTTTTTCGGCCACTTATCCCATCAGAACCCGCCACAGACGCTTCCACTATCACTGTAAGGCGGCGCGAGTGGTGTTTGTCATCATGGCATCTTACGTACTCAGCATGGGCCCATACAGCGTCTTGAGCACTATATCCATTTACTCCAGCTCAGCGGTGCCACCCTGGTTGGCCTCGATGTCGCTCATTCTCTTCTTCCTGCAGTGCTGCTTACACCCCTACATCTACGGCTACATGCACCGCAGCGTACGCAAGGAGTTCCTGGCGCTGCTCTGCGGGCCGCTGTGTGGGCAGGGCCGGGTCAGTCAGGGCTCCGCCGTGGACAGCTGCTTCACGGTGACGGACGGGCGTCTGGCGCACACCCACCTTTCAAGCCAGACTGCCCGTGTGTACCCTCTCCGCACCTGGGAGGAAGGCACAACGTCTTCTTCCCCTACAGAGAGGAGGTCTAAAGACAGCCGAAAGGAGACCACCTCTATCAGTCTGAGCTCAGAGAAGGAGCTCACTGTGCACAGTAACACTAACAAGCAACCTAAGGAAACACCCTAAGGCAAATTCTCAACATATTTCTATCAGTGTTGGGGTATATACAGCTTTTGGTTTTGGTCAAATCAAATACTGTGCCTTTAAACACAAGTTCACTGAATACATTGTAAACATGTGTTAGCTACGCTATGGACCTACTACGGTTACAGTTAGTATGTACAAAAACAATATTATAGGCAACAGAATAGCCTAGCTAACATACAGTAGTTTCTTATCAGGAACTATGGAGATGCATGTCAATGATGATAGACTGTTTAAAACTTTTAGTCAAGAGTTACACTGCTGTTCTTTTTTTTTTTTTGGCCTTTTTGCCTTTTATTAGGGAGGGGAGAGGGGTTCAAGCCAGGACTTGAACTCGGGACGAAGCGCAACTGCGCTATATGTCGGCGCTGCCCACGAAAGCTATTGGCGCCGACCCCCTGCTCTTTAAAAAAAAAAAAAAAAAAAGTTAATACTTATATTCAGCAACGGATGCATTAAATTGCTTTAAAATAACAGTTTACACTGAAATATTAAGCAGCACAACTGTTTCAAACATTGATAATACTAAGAAATGTTTCTTGAGAAGCAAATCAGCAAATTAGAATGATTTCTGAAAGATCATGTGACACTGAAGACTGAAATCTGAAAATTCAGATTTAACATCAAAGGAGTAAGTTACTCCTTAATTATAAAATATATTCAAATAGAAAAGAGTTGTTTAAATTATAATAATATTTCACAATATTACTATTTTTACAGTATTTTTGCTCAAATAAATGCAAAATTGATGAGCATGAGACTTAAAAACCAAACAAAAATCCAGCTTTTGAATGATAGTGTATACACTGTATATGGGAAAGTGGTTTAAAATCTACTTTAATCAGTTACAGTACACACGTCATGGTTATTTATTCAGAAAAATCATTAAATATGAAAGTTTTGAAATTTCAACACCTTTGAATGTAAAATATAACATTTTGGAGACATGGTATAAAGTGTTCCATAGAGTAGTGTATAATATGTCTAACTAAATGAATGTTCTTTGTATACATAGATGTCAAATGTATTGCTACTTTACAATTTAAAGACAAAGTATTCTATATGTTGTTTTGAAATGAATTTAAAAGATTACATATGTAGAGAGATTTTTGTCTATTTTTATAAGCATACATATACAATGATATCAACTAAATCATTGTCACTGGAGAAAAGTTATCTTAAATGTGAGAGTAATTACAAGCAAACTATATTATGAAATTGAAGAAACTCTATCTATTGTTCATCCAACAATAATACTTAAGCGATGAATCTCATCAACAATAGGGTATGGGTCAGTTATTCACTTTATTTATGTTGGTTTTTTGTTGTTGTTTTTTTTTACCTTTATTTTACCAGCAAATAATCCCATTGAGATTCAAAATCTTTTTTTAAGGGAGTCCTGATTTAAAAGATGTGTAATGTGGAGGGTTTCAGTATCAGTATTTTGAAGAGCTTGACCATATTTTTAGGCCATTACATTGTTCCCACCATCCAACCATTTCTCAGTACCGTAATGTAGAATTAAAATGTTAATTTAATTCAGTTTAATTTAAAATATTTATACATCATGGTAGTATTTGTTGAACTGCCTTGTGATTTTTGGGTGAAATGTGACCCGAAGAGCAGCTAATGAGCCAAGGATCTCAGGGTATTTATGATGTACCTCTTGACCAGTGTGGAGAGTCAGCTCTCTTAAAGAGTGCCTCCCTAGACAATTTGTACATTGTCTCTGTGCAGTATAAGATGTTTTTATCCCCCGACACTGCCAATTATATCATTTAACCACTGACATGATAAATAAGATGGCTTTGCAACTGATGAAGCACTTTATGTTATTGACCACTGCAGGAAGGCATGGACATTAACCATTATTGAACACTTAGCGTGACCCTGTATGAAAATAGAACAGCTAGTGCTTCATTTCTGGCTGTTGTGTTTGGAAGTCAGCTGAATTTACCATAAATCAAACCATTTCTTCTGCTACATCAAGTATTATTTTGTGAGTGCAACAATACATATCACAGACAATATCCACCATATGTCAGTTTCCACTGATGTCTGCAGCACTTACAAAATTGTAGACAATCACTTTCAACAAATGTAACCAGAGTCAGCTGAAGCAAGTCATCATTAATGTACTCCAACTGTAACAACGGACTGTTTTATATTAAAAAAAAGTTTAGTAGACATTTTTGTAATGTACTTTGTGCTTTATTTTTCTTTTGTTATAACATGGTGAAGAATGTTTATGTATACCTCATAAGACTTGATCAGTACATTCTGTGGGTTTTAAATTAAAGTTACTGAAAAAAGATGTGTATGCCTGTTTTAAGTAATGACATTTAGATAATTTACAAAGTACAAAATCACTAAATGGCTCCCATTATTTAGATATTATTACTTGTATAAAAATGTCATCAAGCAAAAAATTTGCTTCTTAACCATCCCATTTCCTTCACTCCATAAAAACAAATTTGTCAGCAAGATAAAACTATAAAAACACATGGAACAAAGAAGTTGTATTCTATTAACAACATAGTAACAATTATTACTGATATCCACCAATAGGTGACATTAGAGAGGTTACTGTGGTGCGGTCACATTAGTGAGAAATCTGAGAAAGGCGCATTACAAATAAAATGTATTATTATTATATGTATGAAGCACTGCTCATACAGAAGTCACTTTCAAACTAAGCATCTTTCTGTTGTGAACATGGCAAATTCCTGTGAACATCTTGAACATGAGCGAAATCTGGGTGAGAAACCTTTTTGCCTTTACATTAAACTCCAGATCGCACAGATTCCTATTGGAATGACTGGGTTTTGCCTGCGAAATTTCGGTGAGCAACAGTAAAATGGTCATTTTTGTGGGCAAAGAAGGTCCATTATACATTATCATCAGTGTAGCGATACATGAAGCACTGCTTACTCGTAGGCTCAAACTAAGCAGTGAATTTGTTCAAAATGAACAAACTTGAATCTGATGTGAAATTCAATATTGCCTGGTTTTCTATTAACATGACCGCATTAAGCCCACAGAATCTCACCATACAAAGGTAAATGTGACCGCACCCCAATCTGTGTCCCATCTGGTCTTTCAAAACAAATTCTATACACAAAGAATTGATGAAATAAAACAAAGCAAGTAAACCATACATCTGAGTCAAAATAAAAGCATAAAAAGAACTTAATGTTTAAAGATATGGGCTTTAAGTCATAGGCAACGCGAGATAAATAAAGCACTGAAAAGGGGTCTTTGGAGTTCACACGCACACCTACTGCAGGGCATTGAATTACAATTGAGCCACACACCAGCGGTTGAGGAAGAAAAAAAAAGAAAAAAAGTATCGTCTGATTCCTCCCTTCATTTAAATGTCTCTTCAAACTTCCACATGAAAGCTGATCTGTAAAAAGTTGATGTGATCTCCAAAAGGTCCTTCCCTTAGTCCACTTTCAGCACACTGTAGATTTTATTTACAAACCAGTAGCAGGCGAAGAAGCCTATAGTACCTGGATGGAAGAAGAAATGTGTGAGAATTAACAAAAGAAATAGAGAACAGGACAACAAAAAGAGCTTTTCAGCACATGTACGTCATAAAATGTCCCAGATTATGAAACAGCACTTCTATTAAAATCATAATTGGAGTCATTTTACAAGAAAACCATCTATTAATAGTGGAGTTTCAATGCAGCAAATTATCTGACAGCCAAACTGAGCGGAGTGTGATAAAGCACAGGATTAAATCTAATCATCGCTGGGGTGGCAGTGACAGCCAATCAACAATAGGTCTGATTGAAATCTTTAGCTCGGAATCTATTTTCAGATGCATTTATATACACACACGATTCTCAGTCCTCCTCCTCATCCTCCACACACGCTCTCACTCTATCTTCAGTTTGCTTTTGGGATCTAAAAAGTCCTGCTAGAAACAAACCATTTTGGGGAAGCGTTATTTTAAGATGTGGGACTGAGATCGTAATGGCGACCCAGTAAGCCTCGTTTTACTCGTGTCTTACATTTTCACCCCTCAAGTGCGTGTAGAAGTTGCCATAACAGCCATTGCCAGGGATCCTAAAGCATCTAGAAGAATCCATGGCAACAAATAGATTGTGGCTAATATCCACTCAGAAAACCAATGGCGGTGGTTTACCATCATTCAAAAGAAAAGCTGTGAGAATTGATGCAATTACACTGGATAATCTGGAGTGTTTTTGTAAAGGTTCAGTGTCTAAAATACTCTTACTACAAATGACCTATGTGAAATGTTTTTTACATTGACAAACAGTTGTAAATCACTTTTCTTCACGCTGGGTGAGGAAAACACATGCTACAAAGTTAGAACCTGCCGTTTGGAGAGACTGAGTGGACATAAGTAAGCATATGTAGATGCTATCAACCCACAGGTGTTTATGGATGGCAGACAGCTGGCCATCGCTCGCCACCTCCGCCTCAGCATATCAATGAGGGGAAGCGACAGAGATTTGATTAAGGCCGGAGGGAGCGGCGCTACCTTTCAACAACAATGAAAGATGAAGAATATTTATACGTGTCCCAATTACCCTCTGCCTAAACACAGTATGACCCATCAGGCAGGAACAAAACAACTAGCACTGGTCACCTGCTAAACAAAAGGACCAGCAGGGAGACATACAGCAGCATCAAAACCACCAACATCATGACAATCTCTGAACATTTAAGATTGTATGTAAAGTAAAAATTAAGAAAGAAAAAAAATGTAAATGTCACACTGAGCACAAAAAGCATTGAATTTTTCAGGAACAGGATAGAAATCCTGAAGCGGATAAATGGTACTTTCCCATATTCACCTGGTTGGACCAGTTGTGTGCTTAGTTTTGACGTAAAGGGGCACTAAGCTACAACTTACAAGCTACTAAAAATGTTTGCATTGATTGCACTAATAAATAGTTGACACATAACTATGTATAAAACTACATATATTTACAGAAGCATCCAACCTGGAGTAACAGGTGGAATAAAATGACAGACTGGCTGAATTGCATCAATAAACTATTGTTTTAGCTGACAGACTAAAACCTTATATGATAATGTTGGCAATGGCATTTGCATATTAAGAGAGAGAACATCATGTGAATAAATTACTTTATTCAGTTCCCATCTTAGCTCTTCAACACCAACCTAAATAGTGCACCTCTGTGTGCATGTCAAATAAAATCAATCCTAACAAATGTCATTTCTTGTGCTTTTTTTAATCAGTATCATTTATTGATCCTAATTCATTTCAAATACTGTTTCTGAATGTTATTTTCATATAAAAAACACCTATTATGTTATTGAAGATTAAGCAGTTACATATTTCAATGGAAATATTTTTTTAGTTATTTACGTGAAGCAAAAGTTAAGAATCAAGGATAAACTGAAATTCACAGCATTTAAAACTTCTTCTGCTCAGGATAAACGTCATTTTAGGCCACGTTTTAGAAATAATCGTTTTCTGTGATAAAAACGGGGTTTTCGTGTAAATGAGAGGCCAAACCGCAGGGAAACATCTGCGTTTTCCCTTCGTGTAAACGGGTCCTTATGCGAATACACATATTATATGGAGAGCCTACGACCTACTAGCTATGTTCTGCCTTAAGAACAAATGGTGCTAGTTAGTTACAAACTAGCTAGTAGTTACTAAGCTTCTAATATGGACTTTGTGTTCAATTTAAATAAGAAATTACGAAAGGCTGGTGCAACCCTACCCTGTAGTGTAGAGTAAATATGTTCAATGGAACACACTCAGTTCTGTGCTCAAAGATTACACGTTGTTCTTGTACTGCATTCTCACTATAGCAATTTGTTTACTCTAAACTGGTTAACCTGTTAAACTGGTTATTTGATGGAGGAGGAGAATTCAGTGAAAGCTTAATCAGTTTAGGATTGGTAAGACTGATTCACACTATTAAGTTGTGAGCATAGACTGTTAAAAAGACGGATGACGCATCCTCCTTCCACTATAGGAAAATCAAGCCAAAATATTTAAAAAAAATAATGTTAACATCTTGCACCGATCACATCATTTGGAGCCCAAGTCTGCCAGTATACTGCAGCCAGCCACCAGGGGTAATCGAAAGGTTTTGTCTTCACTTTTCAGGAAGCGTGCGGCACATTCGGTTGTGGGTCATTAGCTTCTGAAGTCAAAATACACATGCAGTATGCTCGTTTTTGATTATAGCCAGTGAAGACAACACAGCAGAAAAACTGTAAGCTAAAAGTAAAAAATATATAATTTCTCTTATGCCATTTCCTCTAGATTCACTGAAAACCAGAAACACCAGTGATAAAATGTAACTTTAACCTAAATAAAAAAGTCATGACACAAATCAATGCTCTAACCATGGGTTTCCCAAACTGGTGTTCGTAAATTGATTAATTAAATCATAAGAATATATAAGAATATAAAATAAAAATAAATGTTTTTATCTCTTCACTTTAGTAGGCCTTTATTAATCCCCTGGAGCCATATGGCTTACTTTTATGATGGATAGATGCGCCCGGATATTTTTTCACATAACTCTGATTGTGTTTGGCTGAAAGAAGAAAGTCATATATAACTAGGATGGCTCTAGGGTGAGTAAATTATGGGATAATTTTCATTTTTGGGTGAACTAACCCTTTAACTGCATGTCATGTGTTGCTAAATTATTGAATAATTACTTTCAAATCTCAGGGGGTACTTCAAGTAAATATTATATATCAAAAGAATTCGGCTTACAAGAAAGTTTGGGAATGTATATTAGGGGTGTAATGGTATGCAAAGGTGACGGTTTGGTACATGCCTAGGTTTTGAAGTAATAGTATGTTTTCGGTACAGCAGGGGAAAAACAAAACTTTTTCTTTCTTATACTGCTGCAACACACTCTTTCTAATTCATTTTATGCTGTAAAGGGGAACAGAAATTTGAAGTGCTTTCACTTTTGGATGCAAAATAATTTAGCAAAAGTTATATGTTACTGTTACACCCATTGTATATCAACTTGTATTATCAAGGCTAAAGGGAAACAGACCATCTCTCACATACCTGTGAAAATGAAGAAAATGAGCACCATGATTGAGGTGTAGCCAAAGTAGAGGATGGTGCTTGCTGCCCCTATAATTTGTAGTTTTGAGTAGAAGTAATGCACTGCGTAGACAAACAGATACACTGCCGTGAAACCGCTGGTCAGGAATGATCGCCACCACCAATGATAATCCTGTCAAATACAAAAAAATAGGCTTTAAACAAAACATGCTTTTTTTTTGTATATGTAATTCTTCAGACTAACGTTTAAAATTATGTTGTACACTCTTATGAGACTGATTCATTTCAGTGATGAATAAGAACCAGCCAAACATGAACCAAAAAAACTTTTAAAAGATGCCATGATCAGTGTTCAATCTCACCTCTGCACATAAATGGAAGTAGCAGAGCAGAACAGTGGCCTCAGAGCAGGTAATGAGCAGGATGATGAAGACCAGGAAGAGGAAGCCAAACATGTAATACATCTGATGAGACCTGCAGAGAAACCTTTCAATTAGTTAATGTTAGGGCCAAAACATCAGTTCTGACATCAACTCATTTCAGCATGATATGATTTCAAACTATACCAAATGCTATTGAGGATGAAGAAGAGCTGGATGAAGATGCAGCCGAAGGGCAGGATGCCACCCATGATGATGCCCGGCACAGGTTTGGTGAAGAATGACTGCTGAGGAATTTGGCGTGGGATCTGGTTTGTTCTCACAGGAGGCTCGATGCCCTGTTAAAACAGGAAAATAAAAACACCCACAATCATGATATCGTGCATGACAGTGTGCCAAAAGAAAAGCTCACACAGATGGGAACTGCAATAGCAGCGGATTCAAATGTTTAGAAATACATAAATAGGCAAGCATAAGAATTCTGGAGTATCAAAACCTGTGAGCCTATTATTAAATGTAATTTTTTTGCATCCGCAAGTGTGGAATCAGCACCTGTCAGAATGCCAGGAATTAGAATTGTACTCTGTTGAAAAGCCCTTACTCCTGTTTAACACGTGATCAGTTTGCAGTACATATTTTAGTACGCATTTCATTTAAGATGTGTTTGCAGTGCACTACTGAGCCGTGGCTTTAAACACAATAAATATAAACAATGTAATATTTAATTCATTATTTCTATATAGATTTATATATTAAGATACTCAAGCGAGTGCCAAAACATTTAAACATGATATTTCTCTTACATGAAACATGTCTTTCATGTTTGAATCTTTATATGAAAAGTCATACAGTGCTGTATGTTTTTTCCCATCTCAATGATTAGATGTCATACATTGTGTACTGTGTAGCCTTCTTGTTCCAAGTGTAGATCTCAGACAACCAGATATACTTTAAGTACTGTATTGTTCCGAATATAAGATAGTTTATTTTCTTTGAAATACATCTGAAAAAGCGGGGCCATTTCGGGGAAGATGGAAGGGGGTGTGTTGGTGCGCAGCCGAGGGAAGAAATGAGGGGCTGTCCATAGCCAGAGCTGTCATCCAGCTGAAGGCACTGGATATCGCCAAAGAGCTGAACATACACACCAGCGAGGCCCCTTATTTCTTGTTTCGGCTACGTTGTGACACACTTGCCTGTCAATTTCTACGAAGCGGCTGCTTTGATGCATTACGCCAAAGAACAAATATTGCCCAGCGCTTGGCCTCCGACTTTAGGGAGAAACTGCTGTCTTTTTAGCGCTATGTGATCGGCCTAAGGAAAAAAACATTCATATCCCCTGGTTCAGATAGGAAATGTAGATCAAACACTTTTTTTAAAAACTTTGTTTTTTGACATGCCAACATCTGTCACTGTACATAAAAAAGGTGAAATATCAGTCAATGTGAAATCTACTGAAATGAGAACTACAGGCTTTTTTATTTTTATGGTACACCATAGTGATTGTTGGTAAATTTTTTACCAGTATTTACCATACTTTCAATATAAAAATTAAACATTAAAATATGCAATTATAATTGTAATATATTATAATCAGGGTCGTCTCATATTCGGGACAATAATTCTAATACTTTAGATTTAATTTTGACCGCATTAATTATTTTTGCAACTCCTGGTAAATGCTTTTCTTTGCTTTACCCCAAGCTTAAAGTAATTATATGCATATATGGTAAAATTACTATTACGGATTGACAGGAAAATGTAGTAATTTTACCATATATGCATATATATATAATTTTACCATATATATGCATATATGGCAAAATTACTAGATTTTCCTGTCAATCCGTTTTCATTTTGACCATAAACAATGCGCTATTATGCACTGTAATTCAGTAAAAATTTACTGGTGCAGAAACATTTGTTGCACTGTTCCTGCAACACACTTGCCGCGCCGCACTTGCAGTGTGAATGCTCTAACCTGTTAACATAGGCACTGAAAAAAAATACGTACTGCATATGCACTTCAAGCGGGTCATGTGTGAAACAGGCGTTAAGAACAATTGGTCTGTTTAAGAAGGCATACTCACTGGTTTTTTGAAGCCGAAGTATGCACCCAAAAAAGTGAGAGGAACAGAGATGCCAAACCACAGCGCCAGGACGGCCACGAGTGTACCAAAGGGAACAGCAGCAGAGGAGCCCTCTACCCACAGGATCAGATTCATCAGGAAAAAGTCCACAAACACAATCCTGCAAAAACACAAGCCACGTCTTTGAAACTGCATACTGGCATAAATCATATTATTTCTGTTCTCGGGAAATGCAGATGAAAATATTATTCATACCCAGGACACAAAAGGGCTGTGAGAAGGACATTGGTTTTCCATTTTTCACCACCGAAAGCTGATGATACAGAGGGAATTGATTGGAAAAGGAAGCAATTAAGATGAATATTTGGCATTTTAAGGAGGACTCAGTAACTTTCCCCTCACTAAAAATGCAGAAATGAATAGAACCATAAAACAATACAGTAGTATGTGTTGGAGCCATTTGTTGTAAAGTTTTTCTTGGCCACTGAGTGGCACTGTGACAGTATAATTGTAGCACAGGTGTAACAGGAAGAAGTGTGAGCGTTGGTTATTGGGAAGCACACAGTTTTTGATCACACTGCAGAGTGGCATGCAAGGTGGATTATAGTTGTATGCTGTGTCTACAAGGTATGGACTCTGTTTATACGCTTTCTAAAACTTGCTCACTCCTATTATCAACGGCAAAGGCTTGTCTGGAAAGCCATTACATTACTTTTCAAAAACATGTAACTTTGGGGGGACATGTTTTTATCACAAACAAATGTCACCTCTTTAGATCTTCATAATGACTTCCAGAAGAAGTCATTAAGATAAAACAAGATTTTCCACTGCAATATTTCCTTACTCTTATAGAGTCTGGAAGACACATATCCAGCAGGTGTGCCAAGCAAAACCCACAACACCACCGAACAGGTCATGAGAGCCCCTCTGTTGGCTGGAGACAGGAAGCCTAGACAGGCCAAGACTAAAGAAAAAAAAAGAAAAAAAATCATTTAATGCTATTATAACTAATGTGTGAACAATTTGTTTTACACATTTTGGTAGCATGTTATTTCAATGTCTATTGAGCGTAAATAATCTAATAAGAAAATTTAGGAAAGTTAACATTGTTGGCATTTTCATGATGCACTCAAATATTCGACTGTTCTCACGGATCTAGAAAAGCAACCCTTAAAGTTAATTTGTAGAATACAAAAATCTGCAGTACTTTCATTCATTTCAATTCATTTCTGTTCCAGATGCACTTACAAAGGGTGATGAAGGTCATGATGAAGATCTGACAGCCCTGTCCGAGGAAGACAGACAGAAGCATGCCCATCTTGGGTGGCCTAAACACATCACCATGAACCTGCTTCCAGCCAGACTCCTCCTGGGCCTCCTCCTGCAGGAGATATGACATATCTCAATATGATCTCACATGACTATCATCAAATAAACCATTATGGCCAGAACACAGAAGATGGTATATGTCACATATGTTTTATCAGTGTCATTATCTATTCACTGCAAAATAGCTTCCTTCATTTTTTTTAACCTTGATTGGTGAGTATGGTAATGTACAATTACACTGTTTTACTAACATCAAACATAAGCAAACATAAGCTAATACGCTTACATAGGTAATGTTTGCAGCTGGAGGGATCTTAACCCAGTCTGCCTGTGAATGTCACAACAGAGGATTCATTGACTGGATGTATTCTTTTGGTTATTAATATTAGAAAAATAATAACACACTAAAACTGGGAGGAAAATCAGTGAGTCAATATGTACTTGAGGATTAGGATATGACCCATGAAAACATGACAATTATAACTCAAATCAAACACAATATATAACAGGAAGTTTGATGCAGGAGTGTCAGCTCTGTTGACACAAGAGACTGTAGTGACGTAACGGAGTCATTCATTTCTTCTGTTATCTAGATTCTAGATAACAGTTGGAAGGAGAACAAAGTAAATTCAAGGTACCTGGTCCAGCTGGTTGTACCGGGCAATATCCTTGTGCAATGTTCTAAGCATGATCATGGCCACCATGCCAGACAGGAAGAGCACAATAACCAAAGAGTTCATGATGCTGAAAAAAATAAACATGAAAACCATTAGTATGTATGGAAATAAAGATATAAGAGCCTTCTTGTTCTTGAGATTATATATTTTCTTGATATATTTTCAACCAGCTTGGCTTTCTGTGCTCACCTGAACCACTGGATGTTGCTGTGAGGCATGGAAACCAAAATGTAATCCCATCGAGAAGCCCACTTAATTTCATTATTTTGCTAAAAAAGAAGAAATAAACTATCACACAAACTTCTTTCCAACCATCTCCATATACTGTCTCCATAAATAAGCTTACCTTAAATTTAACTGAATAAGTGTAGGTCACTTTGAGACTACTGCTGGAATCTGCTGGAATGTCCATGGGAGCGCCTTCACATGTTGGATTATTATCATCAGCATGCTTGATGCTATTCAACAGACAAATATATATGTATATATATATATATATATATATATATATATATATATATATATATATATGTAAAATCCATTTTTACTTGGTTTTCTCATTGATGTCACAGATGTTGCTATGCCTAACTTTAAAGGTACAATATGAAAGAATTTTGTATCAAAATATCCAAAAACCACTTAAATAACATGAATGTATTCACTCATCCATAAACATTATTTCCCCATAAACTTTATTAACGTTAGATCCATCGGCATGACGACAAGTTCCATGATTCCACTAGTCATCAATCTATGCCTTTGTTATTGTAAGAGGTTAGCGACCCCTTGAGGCGAAAAAATTACAGATTGTAGCTTTAAAGCATTTTTTGCTGAAACTGGTCACATGGGCCCACAGAAAGTAGAGAAAGACCTAACATCAGGTTAAGGACGCTACCTAAAGTAAAGTTAGTTACAGACAGTTAGTTGCAAAATCAGACCTCTTAGGTTCCAGCGTAGCCGCCACAAGTCGAGCACCCATCCCAGTCGTTTCATCTTCACTGTGGTAAATTATGGTGATGTCCACATGGTTGAAAACATAATAAGTGTTCTTTCTGTTGAAATCAGCCTAAAGGAGTGGATAAAAAGCATCATGTTAGAAGCTAGTCCGCATCAAAATGGCATATCTCTACTTCTCTTGCTAAATCTTTTGGTTACTTGTGAAGTTATTTTGAAATAGTTGATATTTCTTCAATCAGCTTAATATTTCCTCTGTGTCAGTGTTCTATTCCTGGTAACGTATTCTAATATTATATAAAGATTTAACTTATTGAATGTTTAAACTTAAAAATATACATATATGTTTTTTATTAAATTCAGTGTTGGGGAAAGTTACTTTTAAAACTAATGTATCACAATATTGCGTTACTCCCTAAAAAAGTAACTAATTGCATTACTCAGTTACTTTTTATGGAAAGTAATGCGTACTTTTGCTTTACTTTTTTAACGTGGGCTGACCTTGATTGTTTGTTTTTTAATAAAAGCTAGCTCACAACTCAAGTGGTGATAAACAGTCTCTCTCACATTGATAACACAGGCGTCCTTTGGGTTTCCTTCTTGGTTTACTAGACATCCAATGGGAAATCCTGGGTTGCAGACTTTCTGATTGTCTTCCACCAAATAACACCATGTTACGGGCATGTTGTCAACAATCCTGCAAAACAAGTGTAAGAATAAACCAAATCCACTAACGTGTTATGGCATGTAAAACCATTATATACCCAGTAAGGATAATATGCCAAACCCTACGATGACAAATATATTGTATACCTTTTCTAAAAGGTTTTGAGCATTGCATCTTGCTTATGCTAGTAACTGATAAAGCAAGATGACAACTTCCACGGTGCTACCACGCCTAATGTAGGCAAGGCATTTTATGTAGACTTACCAGTGGTGCTGGTAATTCAGCTCCATTCCTCTCTTTAGAAAGTCCAACTTTAACTTGTCTTCTTTTGTAGTTTCATACGATATGGTGCAGACCCTCTCACATGCCTTGTCAGCCTTAAATGAAAACTAAGAGGAAAATTTCTAAAATCAATATCTTAAGGATCCATCCATTATAAGAGAAACATAAAGTACTGGAGTTAATTATAACAGGCACATTCTGCAGAATGGTATCAAACCGGAATACACTGTCTAAATACCAACAACATAATTATATAACGATAATGTACAAAAAAAATGTCAGACAAAAACACAAAGGTTGAAAAGTGCGTGTGTGTCAGTTACAGCTACATCTAGTAAAACTTGACAAACAAGATGCCAGGGGCCAGTTGCATAAACATAGCCATTATGTTAAGACAGTGTCTTAAGAACTAGTTTGACCAACTAGCAGTTGTTTAGGGGTAATCAGTCTTACTGTTCGGTATCAAATTCGACCAATGTACGTTTTTAAGTAACTAACTTTAAAAAGTTATGAACCGTCTTGAAGAAAAAAAATTGGATGAGTAACTTGTAAGACTAGTCTTAGCAGTTTATGCAACTTGCCATAAGTTGAAACCCTCAGGTTCCTATACGTAGGTTGTATAATCTTTCAAATGTCACTGCTACACTGAAGTCGGCATGAAATGGAAGTTGTGATAGTCTTTTATTCCCTGTTGTGTGAAAACGTGAAACGGCTTCATGAACAATAAAAAAAAAAGTAGGGCAAGACTTAATTTTGTCCATCGGCAATTGATTGGATTGTTCTACTTTGCTATTGCTATAATCTCATGTGAGTGACAGGTTGTCCTGTTCTTGCACCGAAAAACACTTCTTTAGAGAAGAGATGTCATTGCAAATGGGAGGGGAAGTGATTTAAATTTTAGATTAAAGATTACAAGGGCAAATTAATTTTAAAAAATGTGCTGGACAAATCATTTATAATAAAAACTGCAATATTCCATAAAAAATAAAAATTGTCCATTTTGATTTCATGGTGATATGGTGAAAGGTGCTGTATGTTAACTTTTTCACTCTACTAAAGCATAACAATGCCATAATATGTTTGCATATATGATATATTGAGGAAACATGCTAAGTTCACATACTCGTTTCTCTGAAAAACACTTCTACAGCCTATTATTTTACTTTGAAATGTGCGTTTCCAGGCTGGAATGTCATTCTTACATACTGCACATTTAAAGATAAAATAGGCTACAACGAGTAAGGTAAATAAAAATTTAAAAAATGTAAAATAAAAAACAAAACACAATAACTCGTAAGGTGATGCCTATACTATACCTTGTAAGGTGATGTCTATACTATACCATACCTTGTAAGGTGATGTCTCTATTCTTTCTCCAAACAACACCTGCCCAAGGTTCTCTGAGGGCCTTCTTTCATCCTTGTCTTTGCAAAAGTTAAACCTAAAGCAAAAAGTATGCACTCACTGATCAGTGCTTGTAACGAAATGCATGTAGATATAATGAAGCTTATATTGTAAATGTCAAGCATACTTACGCATCATATTCGTAAGGCAGGACTGATTCCACAGAGTCCAGTCTATTCACAAACAGCTGTATCTCAGTCTGTGGGAATGACAGCAGGGGAGTGGGGTCAAGGAGACAGCTGACTATAATCATATCTATCTATATATATATGCTGTCTAAACCTTTGTTATGTGCCAACTGTCTGTACATAATTATACGATAACAAGTATAGGACAGTAAAAGCTCACCTGACATTCCCCCGGATCTCCGTTCGAGTTTTTCTCGCAAAAACTGACTGGCGCTAAACCCGGAAGGTAGAATCCAACGCTTGAGCTGACTAGAGTGAAAATAAAAATAAAACTCGGATTTAAAGACTTCATATTTCAAACCAGCGTCCTGCGAGGTTTCCGGTTTACTCTGCTGGAGCAAACCATACAACTAACCGGCGATAATTCACAAAGAAAATCACCAAGACAACGAGCTCGCAGCTACTAACTGACTCAAGAAAGATTTGTATTAGTGTCACTTCCTTACTGTGCACATAACTCCGCCCCCTCATGACTCCTCCTCCAATCCCTCTACATCATTGATCCACAAAACATCTGGATTAATGACAGCTGTTTATTAATTAATATATTTATACAATCAATATATTTGATTAATTCAATAGTTTTTATTTGTATTTTTTATTTATTTTTGTTATCAATATTTTATATATTTATCTACTTTATTCATGAATTTATTAATTTTGCTTTTAGTGTTCGGCTGGTCATGTCTGCCCCGTGAGGCGACCCGCTTCATGTACACAACAGTTTTTGTTTAGCTTCAGATACCACCATTTTAAATATATATTTAAAACTCTATTCATTTCTTTGTGTAAAATTCATCAGTGAGAGCAACTTTAATATTTAATTACTACTGGGTTTCGCTCTATGATTTGATTTCGCCTAAAATAAGAACAGTTTGCAAACATGACAATAGAGGGCGCGAGAGACTTTTAACCCGTTAAGTTCCTCCCTCTTACCGTAGAGTAAGTGACTGCACTGTGGGCGGGTCGAAACCACACATTAGACACATATAAACCAGTAGACGCTTTTGTTTCTGCCTATTGATCCTGAGGTGAGTAAATGGATCAATCAAATAAATTCATCATACTTATATTTTTGGTTTATTTATAGATGGTAATTGTATCGTGCACGTTCAGTTAAATGCGCTTTGCCTGATAGGTAAATATATTTAGCAGATGTGATGGTAACTGAAAATGGCCTCATGTAGATTGCAGACGGCAAGATGTTTTTCTAAACCCACATTTCAATCGCCATTTTGAACATGGAAAAAGTAGCGTTATTCTCTTTATATATTTGAATCTAAAACTGGATTATTTGTAAGTGTTTATCATGACTATATGATATTCTTCATCAAACATGTGTTGCAAATTAGCCATATGGCCTGAAGAGGTCTCAGGCTGCTGGAGCTGCCAGTAGCCTTGTAATTTTAAGCGTCCGCCATTTTGTGAAGCATGCTTTGAAAATGTGTATGTAAATGCTATGTAAAATGTTCGACCGAAACGTTTAGTATCTTCAAAAACTTTACTAACGGTTCGTAGTGTTTGCACGTGATCCGCAGCAACTAACGTTACTGTTAGCAAGGCAGGGCCTATCGGCTAATGGTTGCTGAGTTAACCATCTTCGCCAGAGAATGATTCAATCAGACGCTTTTCTATCGTCAAATATCTGTTCCAAATCCAATAACCGGTACAGCAACACGTACTGACATTTTTTCATTGTTTTCTGCTACTATGCATGTAATATTGTTGATAACCCGTTTAAACTAATTTTTTTTGCTCTCCCACTTGGTGAGGTTGGTCTGTTTGCTGGTTTTAGGCACTTTTTAGTTAGACTGGGAGACTAGCTTATGCTGGTTTTAAGCTGTTCTTTCTTTTTTTTTCAGACGAGATGTTCTGAACTGTTATCTTGTAATGCAGAAATGTCTCCCCTCTTTAGTGGCAACAGTGGGAAATATGGCAGAGGCAGACCGACCAGGAAAGCTGTTCATTGGCGGCCTGAACACTGAAACTAGTGAGAAGGTCCTTGAAGCATATTTCAGCAAATTTGGCCGAATAGCTGAAGGTAATAGTAGTTTTGTATGATCTAAATTACTTGATAGAAATGTAATTTTGCTATCCAAGTTTATTCATTTATTGATATTTGGGCTGCAGCGACATGAGCTAAAAATGTTAAAGGGCTAGTTCACACAATTCAAATTCTGTCATATACTCATCCTCATGTCATTCCAAAGCCATAACGTTCAGACATAAGCGGATTAAACCACTAAATTCATTTGGCCTTACAATCTCTTAATGAACACTTTGAACCATTAGAGTTTTGGGTGAATGGAATTTTTTATGGCTTTTAAGTAACATGAGTGTGCAATTGATGTCAATTTTCTTTTTTGGGTGAACTATACCTTCAATTAAGCATTTGGTGTCAAGTGTGACCATATTTGTCCTACCCCTTGTCCTTTGTAGTTCTGTTGATGAAGGATCGCGAAACAAACAAATCTAGAGGTTTCGCGTTTGTAACTTATGAAAATCCTGGTGATGCTAAAGATGCTGCAAGGGAAATGAATGGAAAGGTGAGTAATGGTGTGAACTTCACATTTGTAAGCTGTGATGATGGTTTGTGGTAGTGATCATCTTGAACTGATGTAGTCCACAATTGTCCTCTAAGAAGTTCTGAGCTTACATAATAGATGTGAACATTTGCTTTTCAGTGAGCTTGTATATTTAATAGCAACAGTTTCCTAAACTTCAGTTACTTGTGTTTCCAAGCCCCTTGACGGAAAACCTATTAAAGTGGAACAGGCCACCAAGCCTCAGTTTGAGTCTTCAGGACGCCGTGGTCCACCAGTTCATACACGGAGTCGTGGCCCTGCCAGAGGTCCGCGAGGGTCCAGAGGAGCACCAAGTGGAATGCGGGGACCACCAAGCAGAGGTACCATTCAGAACATTCTCTTTTTTTTTCTATTTGTTTGCAATGATGACACTATTTTGATGATCTATTTGAACTGATTGACTTCTAAGAAGTTCTGAGCCTACACTTAAAACAAACTTGCTTCCAAAAATATTACCAAGGTAACGTAGGGATTGTAGAACCTTTTTTTAAAGGCATGTCTTCAAGAGGGCCGCCACCACTGAAGAGAGGCCCCCCAGTGCGGAATGGAGGACCCCCACCCAAGAGATCTGCACCCTCTGGGCCAATGGGCAGGCGTGAGTTTGCTGAACACAGTTTTGTGCTCTTTTATCGTTTGAACCATACAGTCATTGTTTTCTCAATGTATTTAACAGTGCCGGTATCCAGAGACAGAGACCCATATGGCCCCCCTCGCAGAGATTCTCTAATGTCACGGCGGGATGATGGTCCTCCACCTCGTGATGACCACTACAGTAGTAAAGACAGGTGAGAAGTAGAAGCATTAATATTTCAGAGCTGCTACAAGTTAGACTTTCTTCTTTTTTTTTTTTTTTGGACTGGTAATTCAAGTCAGTTACATAAAATATATTGGTCTAATTTGGATCCGAAAAATAAGACTGATTTCCCCATGGCAAACTGCTAGTAAGTCAGACTAGATGTGCATCCTAATGTGTGTACTTGTGCACTATTCTGTGCTTTCATTGTAGTATAAATGGTGCAAGTAGTGTTCACTGTAAAAATTAAAAAGTGCAATTCAAATAGCTGGATCATGCTCTTAACCCAAAAAATCTAAGTGTGGACACTTTCAACTCTCAGCATTCCTTATGTAGCAGAGTGGGTGGGGCTGGTCTGTTAAAGGGATACTCCACCCAAAAATGAAAATTTCTGTCTTTTACTCACCCTCAAGTTGTTGCAAACCTGTATGAGTTTCTTTCTTCTGCTGAACACAAAGGAAGATATTTTGAAGAACGATTGGAACTTGGAAGTCAATGGTGCCAAACAACTGTTTGGTTCCAATCGTTCTTCAAAATGTCTTCCTTCGTGTTCAGCAGAAGAAAGAAACTCATACAGGTTTGCAACAACTTGAGGGTGAGTAAATGACAGAATTTTCATTTTTGGTTGGAGTATCCCTGTATTTGAAACTATTAAAAGTCATTTTCATTATTTGACAGGATTATAAGAGAGCTTTATGAAGAAAATTAATAAAATATTATTTATAAAATTAAATTTGAATAGAAAAACAGTAAAGTACATAAAAATAAGATCTAACTGAAATATTAACTAATACTAATATAACATTTGTGATGGTCTGTTGCCATATGCAATGACACTCAAGCTGTGCATATTTTGCAGTTATTCCAGCCGTGAATACATTAGTTCAAGGGACAGTCGAGACTACGCTCCGGCACCACGTGATTACCCATACCGGGAGTATTCAAGCCATTCCAGTTCTAGAGATGACTATGGCTCAGGATCCAGAGGTTACAGGTATGTTAACATCTATTGTCATATGTATTTGATGGCAGTTTGAGAATCCAGCCTAATGTTTTATTGTTTCTTAGTGATCGCGACAGCTATGGTGGAGGACGAGAGCCCCGTGGTTACATGGAACGGCCCAGTACAGGCTCCTATAGAGACCCTTACGACGGTTACGGTAAGATTAAACCTTAAGTGTGGTGAAAAGGGTTAAGGGGCTCTACTCAAACCGCCTGTTTTGGGCCTGGAAAGGGCTGCCTCGTGTGATTGCCAAAAAGTGGAAACATCAAACGCGGCATCTTTTCATCGTGAATTCCCACCAAAATCGCACCAACAAGGATTCTCTTGCAAGCTGTTTTTTGCCCCCCAAAAGTTTGAGTCGTTCCAGTAGCTCTGTCCGAACAACCAAGAGAGATGCAGTACTCAAACTACAATCTATCTGGAATTCAATCCAAACCAAGGAAAGTGCATTTACTCAACAATGACGTGTCAAAGGCCTCTGAGTGGTCAATTGTCTACACTTCAGTTGGGTAGTTCAGTTATTTTAGGCTTAAGTAGTCCCACCCAGAATCTAAGATCCAAATTTGTTCTAGCCCCATTTGGAAAGTTTCTAACATTTGAGCTAGACGTGATGCAGATTTAGGGAAATGGGCACTTGACATCGCAGTATCATGCAAAAAATGTTTAAGTAAAATTTTGCCAATTACATGACCCATTGACCCTGCAGGTAACTCACGCAGCGCCCCACCCTCAAGGGGTCCCCCTCCGTCCTACAGTGGGAGTGGCGGAAGCAGTCGTTATGACGACTATGGCAGCAGTTCCCGGGATGGATATGGCAGTCGCGACAGTTATCCCAGCAGTCGGAGTGACCCGTACTCCACTAATCGTGGTGACAGACCGGGTAGGCAGGAGCGGGGACCGCCCCCTCTTGAAAGAGGCTATCCTCCTCGTGAATACAGCAGCTCGAGCCGTGGGGCACCTCGGGGTGGTGGCCGCGGCGGCGGTCGGGCAGATAGAGGAATGGCCCGGAGCCGATACTGAGAAAAGGGGGGGAGAAATTGTGGTTTCTCATTGAGACTTTCAAAAGACTTTTAAGATTCAAAGGAGCGCCCTTTTAAACTCTGGACTTCAAGCTTCAGTTTAAAGCTGTACACACACTTGTGGAGGTTTTTTTGTCCTTTTTAAATGCAAAGTTTATTTTCCCATGCCCACATCCCATTTAATGGTACCGTTGCAAATCTGTGTTCTTTTTGTATACTAGTGATTTGTTAAACCTGCAATGCCCTAGCATATGGCTTTCATTTACCAATAAAGTGTTTTTAATCAAAGACCTTGAGCAACACTATTCAAGAGAATGAGAAACTATGAAGTGTAAATATCTATTCACCTCTTCAGTTTTCCATGGTGAACACTCCCAATTGCCACTTAATATAGATGCAATGCAGAATATTCATGTAGGCATGATTGTTCACATTGTTGAGGAATGGACAAATGTCACCTTTTTCCAAACTCTCTATGGGTGTAGTTTTCCTCAGTGCAAATGGATCCTTCATCACAAAGCCTAAACATTGACGTCTTGCATCGACCAATCCAAAGACAACCAAAATGCAAGAAACAATTCAGCACCACAGATATAACCTGTCAACAGCTGGTAAGCAAAGCAAACCCTTTTGTTCTGGTATAAGTCAAGTCTCTGTGGTGTTATTTTGCCGCCTGAAGGTTAGTGTGATTTAGTCAAACATCGTCTTGATTGCCCTGGCTTTTTCAAATGCAATCTGAAACGCTGTTTCCAACATTAACAAAACCTCATCTCTGCCTTCAAAGGAGTCTGATCCCTCCCCCAACCACTGGATCACTGAGTTTAGGAGGTCTTAGTCTCAGAAAAATCAGTCAATTCTGTTGCACTAAAGGAGAATGTCTGGATTTTTTTTTTTTTGCCCCTTTCAAATGAGAAATGGCCTCTCTTTTTTTTTTTTTAAAGGATATTAAGATGAATCTTCTCAATGGATCTATCCCTACTGTCAAATATAAACCACATAGCTGCAAAAACCTCTTGAAACTTCCCAGTGGAACCCTTTTGAAATTTTAAATTCACTTAGTGTTAACAAAAAGCCAGAACCGCTTGCAAGCATGCCGATTCTAACAAAGGAGACCACGTGGAGAAAGACAACACTCTATCAACAAGCCTGGAAAACCTTTCAGATTGGGTCATTATTTTTAAGAATATCTGTCCCTTATGCTGAGCTACAACAGTTTGCTGATGGTAACTCTCTTGTTGCAGGGTGAATGGAGTAAAGGGAGTTTGATGGTAATACGTACATGAATGCATCATTGCTGATCAGGACCTGTTGTCATTGTGGATGATCCATAAGCCTTTCCGACGGAAGCAGGTATGTTAAAGACCTTAAATTCTTACAAAATAATTTGCAGGATCATACAATTCCTTTTTTTTCTTCACCTAGATCCAGAATCTCCGTGTTCTTTGGAGGCTGCTGTTAGTTGAGACTGATGTTTAGATGGAGTCATGGAGTACTACAGATGAATTGCATTGACATTGACCCGCGCTTTCAATAAACAATCATATGAGTTGAAATGAATGTAGTACTTGTCTGTTTCTTAATAAATTCCCACTATAATAGTGGTGTATTGGTATAATGTCAGTGTTCACTCATACTACATACAGGCCAATTTAAGCAAAAAACAAAGTTTAAAGTATGAAAAAATTAAGTAAAATAGATTATAAAGCATTTTAAGGCAATAACCGTTCCCTTTGTATCACTGAAATGTCAAAGAGCCTTTATGTTGGTTATATAGCAGACGTCCACTGGAGAACTAAGTGGCGAGGCTGAATGGTCGTTGTAACATACAGAAAAGCAGAAGCGCGACGGATGTGGGTAGCATCTCAACAAATAGTGAGAGCCGGCGCACCAAGGGTGCAGCTAAATCTGAAAGGCCCATTGAGCCTAAACTATGAACCCCGAGGAGCAGACTGTTACGTGGCTAATAACATTAGGCGTGCTCAATTCACCCAAAAAGAATATCGCTGATCCTGAGGAATTTCTAAAAACATCTCTCAGAGATGGGGTCGTCCTGTGTAAGCTTATGGAGCGACTGCTGCCTGGAGCCATCTTAAAGGTAATTTATAATATGCACATGTATGTTTCTTTGATCAAACAGTCGTAAACATTAGTGAATTGTATATAATTTAATGCAACCGCAGCAAATACAGCCATGCGGAACTGACGGTGCACGATGCCTAATGCCAAGACTCAACTGTTACAAGTGACACTTTGAGATGCACTATATTGTGCAAATATAAAATACGTTGTTTTAATATTTTTATTTAAAGTACGTGATGAATGTGTATTTAACTAGGTTTATTCAGGGCGCACAATTTAAGCGAGATATCTGACTTCCTGTTACATGAGAAATTGTTCCGCATTATCGCATTCTCAAAAACGAAGTCCTTGTCAATCTTCACTTTTGTATAAAATGCCAAGGACATTTGTAAAGCAATTTTCTTCTTTGTAAAAGCCGTTAAACTGTGTCAATGAGATCTCAGATTATTGAATGTCTTTCTGAATCTGTATGCCTCTGCTACTAACAAGTACCAAATTAAACTCCCCCTTTTTACTCATTACACACAGGATCGTTATTAATTAACGTTAGATAGCTACGCCTACGGTATATATTTTGATTTCTGCTGAATAAAGTTCGTTTAAAATCGTTTGGATTTAAACTCTTTGAATTTGTGTTTCGATACAGGGACATTATAACGAATGTGCTGATCAATACAACTTGACAGAGAAAAGTTTCTCTTTTTTTAAATAAAGGGCCCATTATAAGTTTTGTTGGTTCGTGTCTTCCTCCCTTCCTTTCTTTTTAGCATATGTGCCATACCGCTTTACTGATTTTACACGACGCTTTCAAAGAAATATTTTCTGTTAGAATTTCCCAAATATTCGTAAACGAATTGTTCTTTGGAGTCGGATCTTTTTAATGATTTGGATTAGCCTGTTCGCGAAACGTGCCTGAACGATTCGTTAAAAAACTTCAGCTAAGCTTTCACGTAAATTAGTGTAGTGTTAATGCAAATTATATTTGAATTTAAATGACTAGCTAAATTACTTCTGCCACCACATGAAACGGCAATACATAATGTAATGGCCTTTTTTGTATATTTTATGTAGCCCATATTGTGGTCAATGCGCAAAAGAATTGGATTTGGAGCCGGTTCTTTGAAACGAACTGTTTCAAAGAATCGATTCGATTAAATGAGTCGGATTTGCCATCACTAGTAAGCGGTCCAAGTAGAATCTTGCTGAGCAAACATCGTCACTTCCTCCTAAATATATTTTCCTGGTGCGACAGGGCCCAATGAGATCAAGCAGATGTGTGTGTGTGTGTGTGTGTGTGTGTGTGTGTGTGTGTGTGTGTGTGTGTGTGTGTGTGTGTGTGTGTGTGTGTGTGTGTGTGTGTGTGTGTGTGTGTGTGTGTGTGTGTGTGTGTGTGTGTGTGTGTGTGTGTGTGTGTGTGTACGTACTATGGCGAAGCTCACGCAAAGAAATAGTAACAGTAGCCTATACTGAACGCCAAAGAAATTTAGCATGCGATACAGGACAGCAGTGGCTGGGTACAATGTGGCTCATAGGCTAGGCTGACATTCACTTCTAAAACGAGATCTTGTTGATCTCTCTTTGCTTTGCAGTGTGGTTGAAGCAAAGTTGAGATTATTTACATCCTCATTCTTTCATTGGTTACAGTATTCAATTGAACCCAGATGCGAAGCGGCCTGCATTGCAAACATTCGGGAGTTTCTAAAAGGATGCCAGTCTCTAAAGGTTGAGGTAGGATACTTTTTCTATACTTTATTGTATAGCCCGAATGCCTTTGAGAAACATAGCTGAGTGTGTATAAAGTATGCGACCCCAAGGCTGAGGATCTACTCAGAACACTTTTAGGTGTAGGCTATATCACAAATAAACAAAATCAGTTCTGTAGTGTATGTGCGTGAAAATACATTTCAGATTAAAGCTTTGCCTATAAGCATTGCTTTTATGAAGGAATGATTAACTTAACAGAGTCTTATTAATTTATATTTAATAATTTATATTGGTAGGCTATATAGAGTACTTCTCTCTTCTGCCCATCTAATTTATTTGAGCTCTCCCTGAGGACAGACAAATAAATAGCAGGGTTTTGTTTTGGTTTTGCACATGTGATCTTAAAATATGCCAGTAAACAAGATTGCTCATAATACTAGCTCTTTTGCATGTGCATTTCATTTTTATTATGGTTATTATGGTCTTGAGCTGCAGCAACATTACAGGCGTCTCAGGAAGATGGTCAGGAATTATACCCATCACAGTAAACATTGTCTGCATTGTCTATTATTGACACAAACACATAGCCAGACTTTGATGCCACACCCTCTGCATTGATAGTGTTCCTGTACTAAAACTGTGACCATAATGTGGTTATGGACTGATAAACTGTGCACATGTGGTGAACATGACTCTTTAGTGCCATGTTACTTGTTTATGTGTAATGTTTAGTTATGACTTTGTTAAAGTACCCCTGCAGTCAATCATTTTATCCCTTAATCTTTGGTAATCAAAATGGCATATTTAAACACTTTTTTTATTGAAAGGTTTTAGCTTCACTTTTCAGCATGCGTGCGGCACACTTGAACTCTGCACCTTTTCTTCATTTAGCGTACGTGGGTCAATGAATATGCAAATTAGTCTCCGCCTTCACTCTGTCAAATCAGCTCAGACAACCTGATCCACTCTGTCAAATCAGCTCAGACAACCTGATCCACTCTGTCAAAAGTAGTAAATGCTACACAATGGCAAGTGGATATATTGGTTTAATTCAGCCATATATGACCAAAAAGGCCTGTAACCAGAAACCAATTCAGAAGAAGAGGAAGAACGAATTATACGGGGTTGTCTACAAGTCGATGTATCAGTAATGCATTTTATATATCGCACTTTGAGTTTGTAACGTTTTATGTAATGGGCTATGCATGGACAATGCTCTCTGCAAATTTTGGGACTGAACACTATTAACCAGTCAACAATCAGGCTCATATATATAAAATCAACAAACTTTTATTTTAGAATCGATTAATCGATTTGACAGCACAAAAAAAAGATGTATATTTTGATCATGTGATGTATATGGTTATTGGCGAAAATGTGTAGAATATTGTTGCTTATAAATACATTTTTGCTTATATCGTCATATCTGTTTTGAAGAAAGCTCCAGTTTCATGCTCTTTTAAAGGCCCAATGGGCATATAGTTGATGCAAGTCATGTGACTGGACAAACAACCCAAGCGCATAACTTTCACTTCTGCTTCTAAAGGAGCTGAAAACGAGAAGTATCGTAGCACAAGATTAAGCTTGATATGAGCCATTTTAAACTACTGATGATGAGAGAGAAATGCAAACTACAATTAACAAATGTTCTAAAGCAAAAGGTAAAGTGCAATCTATAAACTGAACTGACTGCTGAAGTTGCTTAACTGTTCATCTTGTTGCAGCCTCGGAAACAGCGCTCAGCAAATACAAGGACACGCACTTCTTGCATTGCTGTGTAAATGCTAATATGTTTTATTTAACATGTGAAACCCTACCCTTAACAAGAAAGGGGATAGCTTTCTGTACCCAGCGACCGACAGGGCCTGTAGACCAAACATCTAAAAATGTGGGTCACACTAAAGATGTTTTCCATAACCATTGAGATTGGTGTAGCGATACATGGATATAGTTTAATGCATCGATCAAATGACTAATGATATGATGTAATGTGTAAAAAATCCATATATATTTAAGTTTTATTTTTAAGATGTATATTTCTTCCATTATTTATTTTTCTATATTATTATTAAAAAATCATTTTAATTGTGAATGTCCCATATGGTATACAGGATTTACAATTTTCTGAGAGTTCAACTAAATGTTCATGTTGTTATATTTTGATTGCATTTGTTAGTTTATAAAAAAATGTAACTGGTTGTGTAAAATAGGCATATACTATATCTTGAGATATCTGACCTACTTCTGCTGCTTCTACTTCTGGCTCAGTGGACAGTTTTTCCTGTCTTTGACTTGTGTCTTTCCCTTAGGGCTTTGATCCAGAGAGCTTATATACTGGGGAAAACTTCAACAAGGTTCTGTCAACACTCTCAGCAATAAACATCGCCACTCAAGGTAATTCATAATGTTATGGACATGTTCTTCGTTAATATTCGCTGTCTTTTCTCTTTTTGAGTACTGTAGGCATCTGCTTTGTCTTCTCATTGTTGAGTTTCTTCTTCCGCCCCAAGCGATAGTCGTGTTAACACTTCCGAGGGTTTTGCTAGACCGAGCAGACATCAGACACATTGTGTGCAAGCCTTGTGTTAAAGACATTTTTATAAAATTAGCTCCTGCTGGCCACTTATAATCTACGAAGAATTTCTCTGTTTAAAAGCAGGATCGCAGGCACTCCATAATCACTCAGTGTTATGTTTCTGGTGGAAATGAGCCACATCTTTCCTGTTGCATGTTCCCATAGGACCTGTTGCAACAACTGTCTTTCTTCATCCCACTAGCATCAGCTGTGTTTGTTTGTTTGTTTGTTTGTTTGTTTGTTTGTTTGTTTGTTTGTTTGTTTGTTTTCTTTAAGTAGATATAATGCTTTGATTCTAAAGTGGTTCAGTAAACATATTTTAATTCCATTATCAGTTCAAGTTCATTTTTAGAAGCCTGCGAATGTAATAGATATCCAATCGCATGTCCATGAAATGCACAGTAGGCCATTTAATTCAGTTGTAGAGTGCAGTAAACATGAGATACAAATCACATTTTTCTCAGGATGAGGATGACTGACCTCTTGTATTTTCCCTGTGAACGTCAAGTCGTGATTTGTCTGGGGTCGTGCCCGCATTTGTGTCTTTCAGCTGCAGCTGCTCTCAACTACTGGAGGCAACAGACAGTTGCTTTTTGTAGGGCCTGTCCGGGCGGCTGACAGTATCTGCATAAGCATGCGGAATTCATGAGACATGTAGTTATTCTCAGTTTTTGCTTCCTTGTCATATGTTTCCCACTGTTCCCTGTGGCTGTTGCCTTTATAGTTTGTCCTCCTTGTAATATATATATATATATATATATATATATATATATATATAGCAATATAGAGATTGATTGGTTGATTTTGTGGGGGTGCCCAGAAAGATTATTTTTTTTTTGTAATATTTTTTTAATTAAGTCTCTTGCTTACTAAAGCTGCATTTATTTGATCAAAATACAGTTGAATAAAAAAAAAAAAAAGTAATTTATTTCTGTGATGGCAAAGCTGAATTTTCAACAGCCATGCCTTTAATCTTCAGTGTCCCATCCCATGATCCTTCAGCAATCATTCAAATATGCTGATGTTTGTGGAAAATGTAGTGCTTTTTTCAGGATTCTTTGATGAATAGAAAGTAAAAAAAAAAAAAACAGCATTTATTAGAAATAGACATCTTTACCATTATAATTGTTTTTACATTCATTTTGGATCAATTTAATGCAACAGTACTGAATAAAAATATTTATTAATTCTTTAAAAATAACTCGAACAGACTACTAAAATGCGCCATCCGCATCAAATGCCATTAGTTATGTGTTTGTGGCATGATCACCCCAGTGCACATTAATTTTTATTACATGGAGGAAAAAAAATTCAGGATATTCTTCCAAAATTACCTTTTTCTATTACATGAAAAGTCATTTATGTTTGGATCAATGTTACAGCGAATAATTTAAGAATTTTAATTTTTGAGCAAAAATCCCTTTGTCGCGGCTGAGTCAATGGCTTGTTTATTATTCATAAAAAACTCTCTTATTTATTAATAGAATATAAAAATGTAATCCTGTTTACACATGACCCAACTTTAAAAGCTTGCAAATAGCTTTGCAAACTCGCTATATTAAAGAGATGTGTTAGTTCTTAAGAATGACTCACTAATGGGGGCAGATCGATTTGACTGGATTTGTGTTAAAGATCTCTATGATGAAACAGCGAGGGTTTCACTCTGAAGTGTGTTCAAGGCATAGAGAAGACGTTCCCTGGCCTGGCTTTATCTGAATTCTCTGTTGTGTTTGCTGTGGAAAGCTTGGAGCAGGTTCACACACACTGTTTGTGCGCCGTGGGTGTTCGGAAAGATCCTGCCGTGAAATCCAGCAGACATGCTGAGCTTTTATTGTGTAGAGGGAGCAGGCGAGAACAGCGACGTGTGAGTCAGTGAAGAGCCCCACAGGCCCCTGCAGCGCTGGAAATCTGTCAAGACCCAAAGTGCAGCAAAGAGGGCACCTGACTGTTTGCTTCTGTCACTGCATACTGCATGCCTTCTCATCCCTAATCGTCCTCTATTTATGAACAACATATTGCTCATAGCAAATTAATACATGCCAGTCATGCAAATTTGGCGTAAATATGCAATGTCTTTTTATGACTAAATAGTATACCATGTTTCAGGCCTTGCTTTGGGTATACTGGAACATACATTACGTCTGTCGGTCTTGATACTTGTCATTATACACTGGAGACAGTGGAGAGTATGTGTCTGGCTGCTTTCAGTAGTTGTTTGTTGTGACCCATATGCTAGTGCCAGTCATGCAAGCTGTGGATTATTGGTGGTTTAACTTCTCAGAGATGACAGAATTATGAATGGGTGAGTGAGTGCTCTTATTGGGATGTTTAACGATGACAGAATGACCTGGCCTGATTTTGTACTACATTTAGAGGGTCCGACGGGCCTTTTGACATGTCCTGGATGTAATGGGGGAAAATGGTTTTTAAAAAATCATTAATGTTTTTTTCTTTCTATTTTTGTCAAATTATCCGAGCTGGAAAAGTTAGTTGCACTGAATTTTGCTAAATTTTTGGCAAATGGAATTTTGGGCTTTTATGCAGTTGCATTTATTTGACCAAAAATACAGGACAAACAGTAATATTGTGAAATATTATTACAATTTAAAATAACTCTCCATTACTCTAGTCTTCAATGCCACACTATCCTTCAGAAATAATAATAATAATAAAAAACATTTATCATCATTATCACTGTTGAAATCAGTTGTGCTGCTTAATATTTTTGTGTAAACTGGAAAAAAAAATCAGGATTATTTGATGAATAAAAATTTCAAAAGAAAAGCATTTATTTGAAATAGAAGTCTTTTGTAACATTATAAATGTCTTTACTGTCATTTTTGTTTAGTTTAATGCATCCTTGCTTGAAAAAAAAAAACTTAAATAAAATTGTTAATGACCCCAAACTTTTAAACAGTAGTTTATGTTAGCTGTGGTTAAACAAAGAAATTTGGACACCTTATAATATGATGTGGCAATATCTTACACCATAATTTGGGGTGACATTAAATCATATGGCTTCAAGTAATTTGAATGTCACTTCATGAAAAATGAAAGACAGTAACATTTGCTGCTACTTCATATTTTATGCATGTCATTCACTCATGTCGTAAGTGTTATAAGTGTAACAGGCCATGCTGAACTGAAATGTAGAGTACACAGGGACAGAATCATTGAACTGTCGACTGTAAGCATGTCTCATCCTTGTTCAGGACTTTCTGTATATCTATATCAGTAGACCTATAATCCAGTGACCACCCACAGATGTTCTGCTCTCTTTTCTTCAAGTAAGAAATGCTATCAGACACAGACTGGTGTTGTTTTAAACCTTATTCCCTGTATTTATAAAAATAAAAATAAATGTTTTCTTCTTTTTTTCTCCATGTATCCAGATTGTACCCCTAATAGATCATGTCCACAGTCTAGTGCATCTCCTACTAGCCTGTCAACCCCTTCACAAGCTGTTCCCGCCTTGAAGTCCAGCAGGTCCTTACGGAGGCAGTCAAAAGCAGTGGCAAGTATCTGAACAGTGGCGTACATGCTGATTACTGTTGGTCTTTTATAACATTCGAAAATCTCTTTTGTTTGTAATTTAAAAAAAAAAGTAATAAAAAAATTCTGTTACTGACAGGAAGATAACATAGATGACAGATTAATCTTCAAATTCATACCTAGTTAGAAGGCTATTCAGATATCTGTAGGAATACTATAAGACAATCTAGATTTGGGTGAGCTTATTACGGTCACTTCTACTATATTGCAAAGAAACACATACAATTATTAAGGAACATTATGCAAATAACCCCAATAAGATGACTAATTACAACGCACTCCGCATTATATTTAGGCAATCATTTTAATTAGTTCAGATTCACTGCTCTATTATAACAGTATTGTTCTAACCTCATAACATGTAAAATAATAAATGAATAATGTGAATAATAATAATTTTACCACCCAATACTTATATAGTTTTATTTAGAGCTGGCAATCGCTTCAAAAATCGCACAAGTTTCTGTAAAAATAATCAAAAATAATCACACCCAACATTGAAATTTGTAGTCATAAACTTATTCTCACAGTGAGTCTCTTAATTATTGTGAAAACAATCTAAAGACAGAGTTTTAATCATTTGATATTTCAATAATTGTTTAATAGCAAGTATATCCATTCAACTTTACAGTATAATTGAAAGCCAGGCCTGTACTGTAAATTATTATTATTATTATTTTTTAATCATTTATTACAAATTTAAACATTTGAAATAGGTTCAAGGTTCAATTTATTTATAGAGCACATAATAATACAACAAGAGTTGACTACAGTGCTGTACATAGGATAAAATAACAATCAGAAAATCACAGTTAAATTCTACGCATTGCCATGGACACCTCAACATCTAAGCGGCGTCAATAAAAACCTATTACACCAGCACATACTCATGAAATATCAATAACTTTTTATTTAAGTGAACGTAAAACAATATTCGCATAAACCCATTATAATAAATGTGACATTTTAGCTGTGCCTCTTAAAGGTTCATGAAACCCTAAACCAAATTTTCTGAGATTTTATCAGAGGTATGTGTGTTGAACACCATTGAAGACCATGTTAGCATCTGCTAGATTTAATAGTAGGGTGAAAATGGTTAAATTTTAGTTTCTTTCCGCTATTTTCGTCTTCCGGGTTTAAAATCTTCATCGCAGACTGTGACGTGGCAGAGCACAGTATAGTGCGTTGATGACTCATCGGTGTCTCATAATTATTAATGAGACTGAGTTTTCATATCCTATGAGAAGACACTGTCTCTTAATTATTCATGACACCACGTGGATCTTTTCAGTGACAGACATGTCAAACTGTGATATCGCGTAGTAGATGAGAGATTTGTTTTCGTGGTGCAAAAGTCCAATTGGGTTGAATATGTTTCCCCGCGATGCTGCCCGGGCTAGACTCTGGCTCCGGGCGGTTGGTTTTCCATCAACCACGGACACATCTTAACGTGTGTGCTGCAAACATGTGGACTTCGCCTTGTTGACAACCAATGCAGGTTGCGTCTTGCGAGTGATGCGGTACCAAGTCCCGAGGACTTTTCTATCCCTTCAGAGGTGTGTGTGTGTGTGTGTCTAAAATGAGAAGTCATCCACCTCCACAGAGCCATATTATTATGGGGGTTCAGGGGGCGCGTAGATCTAGGCTATGCACGGAACGTTTTTTTTAAGCGGAAAATTAATAATTTTCAGATATATGTATAGTGTCTATAAACAACTATATATTTTATAATGACATTATAATTATACATGTAGCCTACATTAATATGTTCTCAATAGAATTACGATTACTGTAGGCTTACTAGGCTAATATAGCAGGGCATTCAGTTACTTTTGAAAGGACAATAATAGTGTCGTATTTCATAAGACTTTAACTTTGCCAGCTATAAAAAAAAATCTAGCATTTCCTCACGTTTTACCACTGGGTCGATATGCATGGGATACTGGCGATGGCCTTACCACACCCCTTCTCACAGCCATCCACGCCCATTTAAGTTGCATTTTCCAAAAAGATTGTGAGCTAGACTTGAGCTGAAAAAGGGGGGTTTCATGACCTTTTAAACCAAGTTCATAGAGCAGCAGAATACGGTTGTCAGTCCTGTATTTGAGTCTTTAATACGGTTATGTTCACACACAGTTCAGTTATTATCAGGAGTGACAATCGCATTCTATAACCAAACTCACACCCGTAAATGTTCAGGACTCACAACCGCATTCTAGGAAAACTAGGGATGCACTGAAATTTCTGCGGCCGAAAATAGCGTTTTCGGCTAAAAGAGAACATTCATACAGACAATTTTTAAGACGCTACTGTAAGTTGCTGTGTGAAAGGGACATTTCGAGACTCACACCTGTAAATAAATGCAGTTGTCAATCCTGAAAACTAAGTGTGAACATAGCCTATAGTGTTTGTTTTTGTCTCTGTCAATACTCAGTTTGAATGAGAGCTGTCAGTTTTTCCTCAATTTAAAGTTTGTTTTTCACATTAATTTTCATGAAAAATAAATTAATAATTAAATCGCTAGATGCTGTGTTAATTATTTTTAATGTTAAACAAATAAAAAAATTCCAGCCCTAATAATTTAATAATACAACTTGCTTCCCTTTGACCACTTATTGTCATTATTGGGGGCTTGTTCAGGATCTTAATATTTTCTCATAACATTGGGTCTCATTCACTAATAATTGCGTGGATTATTTCGTATTTGTACACACAAGAGAACCTCTCACGAAAAATCTCCACCTAATTCACAAAACGTGCATACGCACATGAATTCGTTTTTAATCTCATTCTAACATTAGTGAATTTGGAGTATTCTAAATGAGCAGACGCTTACATGTGGTTAGTCATTTGCATAAAACCATCTCCGTATAAGGGCTTTCCGCACAATCTTTCCTTTACAGCCTTTCATCACTCTCGTCAAACATATGCCGCTCTCTGTAGACGCTCTTTCGCCAGATCCTCGAGGAATACCGTGTATGGGATGATTTTAGTATCAAAATGATTAACACGTGCAAGCACACTTATCAATGAACTTGATACATGTTGCAGAAATGTTTTATCCATGCCTTTCAACTTGTGTGTGCAAAATTCAAAATTGAATGAATGTGAAGCAATTTGTACAAATAGAGACATTTTTGTGAATACAAATGTTTTCCTTTGTATTAGTGTATCATAATTTGCACATGCAACACAGAAGACGTGCATGTGTGGATCAGGTGACGCGCGTGCATTCATTGACTCGATTCATTGAGTCGATCCTATTTGATTCATTTGGATTTTGAGACTTTCATTTCGCGGGTTTCGCCTTGCACGATCCACACACAGCTGTCTGAGAAAAGCTGCTACCACTAGATGGCAGTATTCTGCTAAAACAGACAACGGCAGCATAATCAAGCGTTCTTCCGCATTTAAGACGCTTAATGAGAGTGATATTGAAGCACCAAATTTAGTACACAATAATATAGGCCTACCCTATTAATAAAGCATACTTTATAGAGGCAAACATTACGTCAGATTATGAACAACACCCATAGAAAACCATTATAAAACGCTTAACATGCAATCGCGCGTTGCATGTTCAGTAAGGTGTATTGGCTACTGAGTTTAAATATCACCGTCTTACTGCATTGACGTTAAGCTTTTTCTTTATAATATGCTCTATGGGAGGAAAACTATATAGCCTACAGACAAGAGACTACATGAACGCAACGCACGGCGTTTCAAGTTAATACAATTTTCCTTCCTGTTAAAAAAAGGTGAAATTTCGCAGTTGCGTTCATATTATATGCTTATTTTTATCTGACTACACATTGTGTACATAGTATACAAGCAGGAATTTGAAAATGTCTGTTTTTAAATATTAAAGACGATTTTCGCAGTAGGCTACATTTGTTTTCCCTTGACCCTTAAGCCATAGGCTATAGTCTTACTATAGCACGATGAGTTTTAACAATATGCAACCATTGTATATCGACATGAAATATTAATTGAAAATCAACTGGCGTAGCGGGCCTGTAGCTGCATATTTCTACACGAGAATGCTTTGACGCGCTAACCACAGCTCATGATGCACAAGGGAACGTCTGCCAATTCCACTAACTGCGTTAAAACCACTGATCTATAATGTCATTCTATATAGATCAGTGGTTAAAACGTATAATTTGTTTTAATTCAAATTACTTTTTAAATTTAATAACAGACATTTTCAAATTCCAAAGCTCGTAGAAGGTTTCTGTAAGACTGACTTACAAGTAAAATTTGGACAATACTTCCCTTCATGTAGCCTGTATTCTGCAGAAAAATACTGTAATTCACCAAAAGGGTTTTTTCATGTTCAAAATGGTTGTAGTATGTTCAGTGACTAGACTGGCTTACTACAGGTGAAATTGCCCCAATAACTCCCTTCATGTAGCCTATTTAGTAAACAATTATTATTTTATAAAAAAATTACTGTAATTAACCAAACGGGTTTTTGGTGACTTACTACAAGTGAATAATGTAAAATTTCACCTGACTTGTCACTAGGAACGTACTACAACCTTTGGAACATGAATAGAAAAACAATTTACAGTAAATTAAAAAATTGTAGGCTACTGTTCAATCGAGATATTGGCTGGACATAGTACAGTAACAGTAGGCTAAGTCAGTCTGCCCACTAGACTTCCAAGGTTATAATATAACCTTGGAAATATGTTCATTTGAATGAATGACTGGACGTTTATATTTTTTTGACTGTGAGTGGAGTTTGCAGATGGTCCCTTTATAAAATGAGGCGAATATCAAACTTCACTGCACTCTCGGACCGGTTGCTCTCCCATTCACATGCAAAGTTAAACGCAACTGCAGAATTTTTATTTCATGTTAAGCTTTTTCTTTTTAACAGGCTCGGGAAGGAAAATGTTATTAACTTGAAACGCCGTACATTGCGTTCATGTAGTCTCTTGTCTGTAGGCTATATAG